GAAACTGCTCTCCTAGCTATATAGGAGACATAACTAAGAGGATGTCCAAGATAACTTGAGAATCATGTGAGACTCCATTCAAAAACTAATAAAAGCAAAAAGGATGAGGACATAGCTTGTAGTAGATTGTTTGCCTAGCAGGCACAAGGCCCTGAATTCAAATCCTGGTGTTTCCATAATAAATAAATAAACAAACATTTTATTTTAAAATAATACTTATTAGTTATTTGTGCTGGTCCTGGGGATTGAACTTAGGGCCTGGGCACTATCTCTACATGTTTTTTCTCAAGGCTAGCACTTTACTATGTGAGTCACAGCTCCACCTCCAACTTATTAGTGTGTATTTGGAGATAAGAGTCTCACATTTATTAAATGGGTGGTTTCGTTGTGAGTTTAATTTTTTCTTTCTTGAGGTTAAGTATATTCTGGAATTTAGGCCCCTTGCCTGATGTATAGTTGGTAAAAATCTATTCTGTGAGCTTTCTTTTTAGCTTGTTAACTGTACAGTTAACAAGTTAACAGTTTCTTTTTAGCTGTCTTGTATAGAACTTTTAGGTTTGATGCAATTACATGTATCAAGTTTTATTTGTTATGCTTCTGGTTCTTAGAAAGTTTCAATCTGTGCACAGGAGCCCTAGTATTTCCCTACTCTTTCTGTAATAGTTACAAGGTTTCTGGTCTTGCATTGAGGTCTTTGATCCATTTTGAATTGACACTGGTGCAAGGTGATATTATAAGGATCTAGTTTCAGTTTTCTGCCTGTGGATATTTAGTTTTGCCAGAATCATTTCTTGAAGAGGCTGCCTTTCTTTGAGCCTATGTTTTTGGCTCCTTTAGTGACTATTAAATAGCTTTAGGTCTGTGGGTTTGCTTTTCTGCCTTCTATTCTGTTCCACTGGTCCTCAGGACTGTTTTTGTGCCAGTACCAAAGTCTTCATTACTCTGGCTTTGTAATAGAGTCTTACTCTGGCTTTGTAATAGAGTTTGAAGTTTGATATCGTTATTTTCCCAACATTGTTCTGTTTAATAAGGATTCTTTTTGCTATTTGAGCTCTTTTGTTGTTATACATTAATTTTCCTATTGCTTTCTCTATCTCCTTGTTGGAATTTCGATTGGTATTGCATTGAATTTGTAGATAGCGTTGGGCAGTATTGCCAGTTTCATGTTAATTCTTCCAATCCAGGAGCATGGAAGGTCTTTCCATTTCCTTAAATATTCTTCAGTTATCTTTTTAAATTTTTAAAGGTCTCACTATAAAGGCCCTTTATATCTTTGGTTAAGTTAATTCCTAAATAGTTTTATTTACTTTTGTGTGGTTATTGCAAATGGAGTAGCTTTCCTGTCTCAATCTTCTCATTGCTGGTCTATAGAAAAGTTACTGATTTTTGTGGGTTGATATTATACCTAGTTACTTTAATAAAATTTTCAATAGGCTCTAGTAGCTCGGGAGAATTTTTTAGAAGGACAAAGGCAAAGCACAAAATAATATGTACAAGGAAATGGGTGTTTGTAAGAGGAATGGGTATTTGTAAACATTAGGGGAAAGGGGTAGATGAATGAAAATGGGTGGGAAGGGGAGAACTCAGTCAAGAATTTACTGTATGAACCACAAAATCAAATAATGTAAGGGAGGGGTTGGGGTGGATTATAGGAAGATGAGAAAGCCGGTGGCTCATGCCTGTAATCCTAGCTACTCAGGAGGCTGAGATCTGAGGATCACAGTTCAAAGCCAGCCCAGGCAGGAAAGTCCATGAGACTCTTATCTCCGATAAACCACTAGAAAACTGGAAGTGGTACTGTGTCTCAAGTGGTAGAGCACTTGCCTTGAGCTGAAGAGCTGAGGGATAGTGTCCAAGCCCTGAGTTCAAGCTCCACGGCCGACAAGAGGAAGATGAGAAAGAGGCACTGTATTCCGAAATTGCTTTGTTTAATGGCACCTCCTTTGTATAACTACCTAAAGATAATACAAATTAATAAAAAGTAAATGCTCATATAAAAATGGAATTAGGAAATTTGAATGCATGGATGGGGTTGATGTATATAGTGAGCATGAAAGAATATTGGTGGGAGTAACACTGATCCAGATGCGTTGTTCCCATAAATGGACACACTGAGGTTAAACTCTTTCATATAACTATTTAAGGATAACTTTAAAATGTTTTTTTTTTAAACAGTATTACATACTTTCTTGCCCAAACTGGTTTTGAACTTCAGACCTCAAATCTCAGCCTCCTATATAACAAAGATTACAGGTGTGAGCCATGGAGACTGGCTCAAAAACTATTAATTTTGCAAGTATCAGTATAAGTTAATTATTTCTTCTGTAGAAATACAATGTTGTGCACCTCTCATCTTATGTATGAAATGATTTAAAAGTGCCTACACAAATGAATTGCAAAACATTGTCTATTTTTCAATTCTCTACTACATCGAGAAACATATTAAATCCATAGCTAAATGGCAGTGACAATATCAAATTACACTCTGAACCAAATGTGATAGTACTAAAAACTTCATTAAAAATTCTCAAATCACTTCTTTAGGGGAGGCAAAGACACAATATACAAAACAGATGAGGGCAGAGGGACCTTTGCTGAGATGGAGATGTTGAATAGAGGAAAGATCTTCTTCCTTGATCAGATAGAGTTTTTTTCTAGACTTTGGTATGCATAATTTTATGAATCAGGATATATGAGTCCTTTATCAACAATTGGAATATACTCTTTTAATTCTATTTTAGTTTTATTCCCTTAAAGCCAACTTTCCTGGCTCTATTGCCCAGCTAAGTGCACTGAAGCTAGATTACGACAGAAGTTTTTTCAAACAAACCAATGTAAACAGATTGAACTAGGAGATTACGTCCAATTTATTCTTTATCCATAAATAATAGGATTTCACAGGAGAAATTTTCAGAAGTTTGGCTCCCAAGGACAAAATCGTCCTTGGTGTAGTGTGATATTTGACAAGGGCTTTTGATTTTCATGTTTTAGTTTCAGTAAAACAAAGCTATTGTTGCATTGATATAAATGCATTTTGAAAACAACAAAGGAGAGAGTGACTTGAAATCATTGTGATTGTACCGTTTTTGATGACAATCAAGTTCCATTTTTGTTTGCGTTCAAACTTGGTGTCTGAAAAGGAGCACAACTCATCTAACCATCCAGCGACTTCTTGACATGAAGGTCATGTAATAACATTTATCCTTTCAAACAAAACCTTTTTTTTTTTAACACTGGTGCTCTTGATTCAAAACGATATGATTTTTTTTGTAACCAGATCTTTTTGTTTAGCTTAGTTTTATTGTTTTATAAAGTGATTGTGAATCCTCCAAACTCACCAACCTCATATGGTGTCAGGCCAAAATTGGCTTCTGTGCTGCTGATGGTTTTTTGTTTTGTTTTGCTTTTCCCATTATACTATTTAAGAAATAGAAAATTACTTACATTTCTTTCAAACATTCCATTACAAGCAGAAGTCTTATGCATTGGTTTCCTGGCTTGTTTCAATGTGGCACTGTCACTAAACCTCACTGTAGAGCCATTGGTTCTGCTGGAGCAGGACAGATGGTCTGCTAATTTCTTCCAGGCAGAAGTCTGTATTGTTATTGCATAGTCTGAGTGTTTCTTGTAACCTAAAACAAGTCACAGAATGCTTAGTGTCTCCTCCTGTTCAAAAAGGTCACCTCAAACTGTCTAGAGCATTTTATAGTTACAAAGAACCTCACATAAGGGGACATTATGGAACTGTCTCCCTATTACCTTTAGTATTGATTACTAGGAGTGACTGGTTGGTTATGATGTATAGTGGTTCTAGGCATGGACCCTGAGAATACTGACTTGCACTTAATTCAGAGACTACATGATATATTTGAGTTTCATTTTCTCATCTGTTAAACAAAGGTCGTAATGGCGAAATGGAAATCTATTCATGGTATAATCATGAGGGTTAAATGGTAAATCCATAAGCATTCTCGTAAGGGGGAATTTAATGAAACATACATTGTTTCGGAAGTATTTTCTTTTGTGCCTTACAGCTGAACCAAGTAATAGTGTATTATTCTAATTCTGTTTTCAGAAAGGTTTATTTTCTTCCATTTCAGAGCAAGGAATTACAATTTCATCAACAATCTGCATAAAATCAAGGATTCTACTGAAACTTGTCAGAAATATAATAGATGGGATATTAGACAGGACTCTCGGGATTGAGGAGTGAAGCAAGGGACATTGCTCTGTTCTCAAATTTTCTCATAACTTTTTCTCTTGAAGTGAAGTCATTCTTGCCTTGAGTTTAGGACATAAATTTGTATTAGAACTTGTGAAATGAGCAGTCTGAGAAAATATAGCAGAGCAGCTATTTGTCATTAAATGGTTTTGATGACTTGTTTTTCTTTCCTTTTGTTGTAAAGATATTGTACAGAGGGGTTACAGTTACATGAGTAAGGCAATGCGTACATGACTTGTCGAGCATTGTTACCCTTCCCTTGTGATGTCCCACTATTTCTTCCCTCCCCTATCTCCCTCACTCTCCCCCCCCCCACCTGAAGTTGTAAAGTTGTTTCCAATATACCGTCTTGTGGGTATCCTTGTTGCAGTGGGTCATCCTATGTCCTTGTTTCAGCATTTTGTTATTCCCCTTTCCCTCCTCAGATTAGACAAATGCATATACAAGATGCAGGGTACCAAAACCAAGTAGAGTGACTGTTTTTTTTTTAAACTATTTCAAGAATTCACGAGTAAGTCTTAAAAATGAAACTCATATTTAAAAAGTGAGTGTAGAAAAATTCTTGGTATCGTCTAATTATTAAATTTAATCAAACCAGCCTTTCAAGTTAGTCATTGTTCACTTATCATTTGGGTTCTTTTGGGTACCTGACATTTTCACCTTATCTGTGGTCTGTTGAAAAGAACTTGAGTAGCGATTGAGATCTTTAGAACTTGGTTACATAGTTTGGGGATTTTAAAAAAAATGGTTTCTTCATCAGAAGGAACTAGAAAAGTAGACTATTCATCCTCCTTTAAATTATAGTATTTGTCAGGCATATTACCCATCATTTCTTTGTTTCAGTCTCAGATGGAAGTATAGAATCAATGCCGTTTTAAGGATATGGTCCGTGAGTTTTCCTCAGACAAGCCATTTGTCATTAGACTTCTGAAGCAGCCATGTGGATTCACCCTGACATGCCTGCGGCCATCTTGATCATGAATGGCGTGATTGCTCCTGAGTAAGCCTGGTCGCTTTTCCCCGAACAATTTCTCAGCACACTGAAAACAGATTAAGGCATTAGACTGGTACTTGGAACTTTATAATCAAACTAAAGTGTGGAGGGGAAAGGAATATGCCTGACTCTTTGATACTAGCTGTAGATAAACAAAAAATGAATTTTGGCTTGAATAAAGTCATGTCTCCTCACCGGTGTATGTATACCTATGCTTTTGACTCAAATTATGGCGATTCACTGGTCTTGCTTATGCTTAGAACTTTTGTCAGTCACTCCAATAAATTCTGCAATTCTGGGTCTTTCTGCTTCTTCCTTTGGTCTCATGACTCACAGAGACTAGATTTTATCCACTGGAATCAGATTGCTACCATTATAGGCTGATTTTTATTGTTCAGTGTATCAAAAATGCTACCTTTGGGTTACTTTTATGTAGAAATATTAGCATTCTTTTGGGATTATGGTCATCATTCATGCCTTTATGATAATAATTTTAACTTATTATTATTTTTAATTCCCAAAATATTCTAGTTCTGAGGAATACAGAAAATATTCTTTTCACTGAAAACAAGATTAGTATCAGTCAACACACAAATGAACTGGTCCTTTACAAGTGTTTAGCAACACAAAAACTTATCCTGTGCCTTAGCACCCTTAAATTTCAACCACAGCCAAATCAAAGTTAAAAAAACAACAATAACAAGGCCAGGTGTGGTGACTTCCATCTGAAATTCTCCATTAGGAAAAGGAGGATTGCAGCTCAAAGCCAGCTAAAGAAAACTTATCCAAACTTTACCTCAAAAACAAGGCCAGATGGTGGGTGTAAATGCCTGTGTTTATATATTATAATGTCCTACATTCAGAAACAAATTGTAGAATTATTATCTTTCTCAAATGTGAAAAAATAAGAAAAAATATTTTCAACCCAGTGTGATCATGTATCCCTATAGTACCAGTAACTACAAAGCATATTAGACTCCTAATTGAATAACATAATGAGTTGCCAAATCAAGGAACAAAGAAAATAAAAGAAGGAAAAAAATCCATTTTCAAGTGAATCATCCCAATCAATATTCTACCTATGTTATATGCCATACATTTAAAGAACAGTTAGAATCCTGAAGCAGAGAAATGTCTAATTTCAGAACACAAGTTAAGAAAATAAATCTTAGAATGATTTTTCTTGTATCTGAATGAAAGTATTTTTTCAATGATAGTTCTTGCATCTGGATCAAAACATTTTGTACCTTCTTTCTAGGTTTGTTCTTATGATTCATTTTTTAAATATGTTTTTATTGTAAAAATACTGTACAGAGGGTTACAGTTACATGAATAAGGTAATGCGTACATTTCCTATCGAGCATTGTTACCTCCCCTTTGTTTTTCCCCTACTATCCCTTCCCCCCCCCCAAGTCCCCAACTCTACACTGTATGTCAGTGAATACATTTGTATAAACTTGCGTACCACCCAATGTATTTACTTATGATTTTGTGAGCTAAAGTCTCTCTTTATCATTAGCCCATTTACTAATTGGGTTGTTGGTTTGTTGAGAGTTTAATTTTTTATTTTTATTTTTGTCGGTTGTGGGGCTTGAACTCTGGGCCTGGGTGCTGACGCTCAGCTCTTCAGCTCAAGGCGAGTGCTCTACCATTTGAGCCACAGTGCCACTTCCGTTTTCTGGGGGTTTATTGGAGATAAGAGTCTCACAGACTTTCCTTGCCTGGGTTGGCTTTGAACTGTGATCCTCAGATCTCAGCCTTCTGAGTAGCTAGGATTACAGGTGTGAGCCACCGGCACCAGGCTGAGTTTATTTTTTTATGTTCTCTGTATATTCTAAATATTTTTTAGGCCATTGTCTAGAGCCATAGTAGTGAAAACAGCTAGCCATTCTCAAAAAACAAACCTGATGACCAATGTAACAGAATGGAAGTGCCAGAAATAAACACACAGAGCTCTGTCCATTTAATATTTTAAAAGACAGCCAGAAAGAGTCTGGAAGAAAGATAGCCTCTTCAACAAATTGTTCTAGTGCAATTAGATATCTACATGCAGAAAACAGAAACTAGATCTTTACTTAATGCCTTGCACTTGCATGAAATCAAAATGGATTTAAGATCTCAGACCTGAAACCATTAAACTATTACAGGAAAGAGGAGGGGAAACATTAGGGCTCCTGGGCACAGGTAGAAACTTTCTAAGTAAGCTTCCTGAAACACAGTAAATCAAAGAAAGTCTGGATAAATGTGACTGTACTCAACTAAAAAGTTTCTGTAAGGCCAAGGATGTAGCTGACATGAGAAAATGATAGCTTACAGAACAGAGGGAATTTTCCTGTTTATAATTTTGTTGTATTTCTAGATCATATTTGTTGACCCTTGCTGCATTTGCATGATAGAGGGTGGCACTTTAATGAATAGAGCCTGGAAAAATATGTCTACGAGTTTCATCATGATGAATAGCTAGTTAATGTTAGCTTAATATTTCAAATATTCACTGTCAGCAAATGGAGACAAGCCTTTCACTGGGGAGGGGAACCGCAGCGGTGTTTAACCCAGCTCTCACATTCAAAAAAGAGTTCATGTGGAGGCTTTTAATTTTATGCCTGAATGGCACCAAAGAAGACTATCCAGAGGATCAAATCAAAACGTTTCAACCCGCCACCTTAATTGTTAACTGTAATTATTCAAATATACAAGAGTGCAAGATCTTTCAAAGGATGTTTAGATTTTTTTTTAAAAAAAAGTATTTTGAGGACCTCAGCAATAAATGCTGCCTATACTTCAAATCATTTTTTCCCTTTTATTGTTTTGTCTGTCTCTACCGCTGTCTTGAGGTAGAAATAGTAAACCTAAATTGTATATATTTGAAGTGTAAAGCATGATGCTTAGATATAAGAATACATTGTGAAATGATTACATCAATCAACCCATTGTCACATGTGGAAAGAAGGAAGTGTGAACAATGGCCGCCACTCCCATTCAGGAGGTCCCCAACCTTAAGCCCTCATCCTTTTCCAAAGATACCACCTCCCAGTATCTCTTCACTAGGGATTGCTTCCACATGTAAATTTTGGAGGGACAAAAACAGTCAATCAGACCATTTTACAAATGGAATTTTTTTTCAGCTGAGTTGAGTTCCTTCTAAATGTTTAAATTTTACCTCTTAATGAATACTTGATCTGCATATATTTTCTCCCATTCTATAAGTTATCTCCACACTCTGTTTCCTTTGTTCTGTGGGAGCATCTTAGTTTGATGAAATCATGTGTTTATTTTTTGGTTTTTATCTTTTGTGTTGGGGATCATATCCTAAAAATTATTGCATAATAGAAGCTTTATCCTGCATTTGGTTTTTCCCCCTAGTACTTTAACGTTTCAGGTCAAATCATTCATCGGTTTGATTTGATGTTTGTATGTGATGTGAACAGTTGCTTATATTTCATTTTCTTTCTAAATTTTCTTTTTCAATTTTCCCTATACCATATACCAACGTAAGTTTTGTTTCTTCATGTTTGCTCTTGGGATATTTGTTGGGTAGCAATTGACCATATATATATGTACATATAGATATATATAATATTTAGTTCATTTGTCTACTTGTGTATCTGTGCTGTACTACAGTTTTGAAGCTTTGCCACATATTTTGAAATCAGGTAGCATGATGCTTGTACATTTGTTTTTCTTGCCCAAGAATAGATCAGGATCTTTTGTAGCTCTGTATCAATTTTAGAATGGCTTTTCCAAATCAGAAGAATTCCATGGGAAAGTTGCAGAAACTGTTCCGAGTTCATAGATTGTTATGGGTGATATGGACATTTATCAGTATTAACTCTTCTGGTCATGCGTATCTTTTCATTTATTAGTGTCTTCAGTTTCTTTCACTAATTTCCATAGTTTTCTCTATATGGAACTTTTACTTCTTAATTATTTGTATTACTATTTTATGTTGTTGATATTTAAATTGGCTTTTTAAATTGATTTTTGAGAGTTCAGTGTTAGAATGTTGAAATGTGACTGAGTTTTTTATATTGGTTGCTCTTTAAAAATCCTACAGCTAAACTAAATTTGATTATTAATTCTGACAGTCTTTTAAGTCCACCCATTCCTCTGTAAAAGACCATATCTTCTGCAAACATAGACAGTTTTACCTATTTCTTTTAAAGTTTTATGTCTTAGCTCTTCCAAGCTTTATTGTTGTGGCTGGAACTTCTAGTAACATATCAAATTGAAGTGAGGAGACTGGACGGCCTTGTCCTTGTCCTTGAGCTAGATGATATGCTTTCAGATTTTCACCATCACCATGGCGTATTATGTATGGTTTCCTATATGTGGTTTTTACATTGCTGAGGTCCATTGTTTCCATATTATTTATTGAGTGTGTTTATCATGAAAAGAAGTTAGGTTTTCTGCATCTACACTCATTATATGATCATAATTTTCTTAAATCATTCATTTTAGCCAAGTATAACATATTTATTCATTTTATTATGTTGCCTTACGCTTGCATCCTAGGGGCAAACCCCACTGGCCTTGGCATATAATACTTTCAATGTACTATTGAATTTTATTTTCTTGTATTTTGTTGGAGACTTTTGAATATATATTCATGAAGAATATTGGCCCCTAGTTTTCCCTTTTTTTACTATCACTCTCTCACTTTGGTAGGGGGTAATGCTGACTTCATAGAATGCACTTGGACATTCAAACTTACTGTTTCTAAGTGAGGACTTACCACTGCAATTTTGTTAATTTCTTTGTCAGTTTTGTAGTTCTTTTCTTCCGCTCTTGTTACTCTACTTTATAATTTGATGGTTTTGTTTTTCAGTCAAGTCAGAGTTCCCTTCTTTTTATCTTGTATCTGTCTACTTGGAGGGGTTTAAATAAGACATCTTATTAAACATGATATTTTAAGCAGCTAAATATTTATCTTGCAGCATGTGTAAGAACTGGTGGCCTTGTTCTACTGCTTAAGTTGATATCAAAACTGAGGTTGAGTGTTCACTTCAGTGCCCTTCCAGCACACAGCAGGTATCCATCCTTTTCTAAACTTTACTGCAGGAGCCTGAGGGCAAATCTTCATGGTCAACTTGAAACTGCCCTTCCTTTCTTCTTATAGGAGTTACAACAGTTTTTGTAATCTTGATTCCTTAGTTCCTATGAATGTGTTTTTCTGTTATACAGTATATATATATATATATATATGGTTGTCAATTTGATGTTTCCATGAAGAGATGAATGCTAGAAATGGTTCTACCATCTTATTATCAATCTTGAAAATCCTAGTACAGAAAGCAGAGATTCTGGATAAGAGAAAAGAAGTGTTTTTTACCCTTATTCTACATGGCAGGAAAACTATCAATTCATAAGTGAGAGTGAGATGTAAAAAACTTTCCAGGAGGATCTCTCTTGGCTATGCTAACGAAAATACTATGGTCGGTGTGCTGCAGTAAACAGGCAATTTGGTGGAGCATTCTCTTTAGTTTTGTTTATTGTTGAACTTATCGGTCAGCTTCCATTAACCTCAATGGACTAGAATTCCATGTGGGTTAAAATATGAAAAACCAAGAATTAGTAATGCATCGATTTTTGTTTTGCTTCTGAATTATTATAAAATAGATTTTCAGTGAATGAGGAAAAATGACCTCTAATCATTCCCAGAAAATCAGATGAAGGTGTTAGTATCCTGTGTAAACACATGAACACAGGAATCCAGTGTGTGTGTGTGTGTGTGTGTGTGGGTGTGTGTGTGGTATGTAGAGAGATGGGGAGAGAGGAATTATATAGAGTCATAATTTAAATTACATATAATTCCTTATTCAATAACTAACAAAATACTTGGAAAAAATGCTTCCCTTTACTTTTTTCCCCCTAAGATCTCTGCCTAGTCTGAAATGGTATTTTTTTCAAATATAGAAATCATAATTTATAACTGATCATTTAAAAGTTAGATGTTTATATTTCAGTTCCTAGTAGGACTGAATTTTAATTACTTATGTAGATTTTAACAGACTTGGTCTTCATCTTTCATATTCCTATACCTTGTTTTACTGAAAGTCAGTGGGAGTGGCTAAGTTAATGCTGATTTTAATTCTAAACTCAGGGAACTACAAAATTATAATGTGGAATCTTAGAAAATGTTATAGGAGGCTCAGAGATTGGGATTTCTTCTATACCATTGATTATCAAATTTTGACCCCATAACCTCTAAGGAATTTAGTTTACATTTATACTCAGTGATACATTAGGTATATACTGTCCCCTCCCTCTACTAAGTTAAACTTTATCAACGCTCATATCTTCTGTATGCATCTAAGAAATCATCTATGCCAATTATGTCTAATCTACAACTCGGTTATTTCTCCTGCTAGTCTTCTGTGTGCAAACAGGAATAATAGTACTATCTGGGAAAACTGAATCCTGTGTCAGAGTTCTGAGGATTCCCATTGAGTCACAGTTCCCTTTTTACTTAGAGATAGTGAAAGTCTATCCACTTACCTTCAGGGATTATTTGTGCTTTGATCAGAAAATGTTAATGTTTACAAAATCACTGTGACAGGAGTGTTGATGGCCAAATTGATTCTAGATCATAGTTCTGCAAGTAGAGTTCTCTGTAGAGTGCAGGAGAAGCATTTTCTGACAATCAGTGTAAGCAATTGTGGGAAATACGAAATTGACTTAAGATGAATGAGATAGATGACCTAAATCCATTTCCAAAATGTGTCATTTTCTGTGGAAGGGATGATTCACTGCAGTAATAAGTAGATACATTAATTTATCCTTTACTCCTAAATATTTGAAAGCAATAATGAAGAAATGCTCATTATGCAAAGTTTATGACTTCCATTTGGGACTAAATTTTAATATATACTTGAGTAAAATTTTAGATGTTCTTTTCAGTAAGTCTTAGAAGGCAATGATGGCAATATTAAAAAAAAAACCCAAAAAATACTAGAATGTCTATACACTGTGATAATTTTTCCTAAAAGAATTGTTGAAATATCAGCATACATCTGTCCAGATGTGGCTGATGTTTGATTCTCCACAAGACATTATTGGCTCTAACGAGGAGACATCTAATCAGGTTGGATAGATATTTCTTGAAATGATGCATGGTATGCAGTGCATGCTTTCATTGTGCTTCCTACCATTATGGAATAACATGTCTTATTTGGAAATACAGTGAGCATTTCGGTTAAGTCATGCCCAGACAGCTTATGTAATAACATCTACATTTTGTGAATCCTTTCAGATTTCAGAGAGCTATGCCTTCCTACCAAGAGAAGCGGTGACACGGTTTCTAATGAGCTGCTCAGAGTGCCAGAAACGAATGCATTTAAACCCAGATGGAACAGATCATAAAGGTAGCTGCAGTGTCAAATAGTGAGACTTAAAGTAATTTTACTCATAATGGCAATTTATATCTCCCATTTTTAGAAAAACGTGGTACATTGAGACAGTTCAACAAGTCAGATCATCTCATTTATTCAAGTAAGACTCAGTAAATTTTGAATACCCACTTGCAAAGTAATTCAGAACTCACTCTTCAGAGATGGTTTTTACTCTGGCAAATAACTTCTTACTATAATAATGTTCTAATTTTCATTATTGTATGATTTCATTGTGTTTTAGGTATCCTCAACAAGGAAAATGGTTTCTACTAATGTCTTTTCAAGTGTACCAGTTTCTTATTTCTAGAAATCATAGACAATGTGGAGTTACCATATGTCAAAAATTATGTAGGATTACAATTTGATTTTAGTTTTCTTTCATTAAAATATCTAGATTAGTTTCCTAAATACAAATTTTCTGTAATGAAATTAATCTCAGAGATACATCTAAATTAGTATATTGCCATTCCTGGAAGATGAATAGTCTGGTCAATAAAAAAGAAAAACTAAGGGATAAAAGCAAATTTACTATGCACACAAAAATACATATAGAAATAAATTGTGTAACAAAGGGTTAAATATGCAAATAAATATGTCCAGTATGTTAATTAGTTTCATTCACTGTCATTCAGGATGTCTAAAAGTTCCCCTGTCGTTAGAAATAATTCCTTTATCTAAATCGTGAATTTGGGTCAATATGTCTCTATGTACCTTGTAGGTTCTTTTCCTGCAATCCATCTAGAATACGACTACATTTGGAAAGATCAGATCATTCTGAAGTTACATGTGCAAAACCGTATTACTTTCATGATGCATCTGCCATGTTTTGTTACAGACAATGGAAAACCTCCTACTCTAGTGACCAGCATGATTGATTACAACATGCCCATTACCATGGCCTACATGAAGCACATGAAGTTACAGCTGCTAAACTCACAGCAAGATGAGGTAAAGGGAAGAATCTGCCTCCAGTCACCTGCATGTCCGAATGTACTTTGATAACCATGACTGTTGTATGAAGCATGGTGATATTTTGAAGACAGTCATTTATAATTTTAATGAAAAAGATGCCACCCAGATTACACTGATGTAAAATAATGGGCAGAAAATTAAGTTTTGCGTGCACAGTCCCTGGTTTAATCCTTCTACCTTAGTATTGATCAGGGGAAATTTGTTAATTCATTTTTTTTTGGTTGGTTGTGGGGCTTGAACTCTGGGCCTGGGCGCTGTCCCTCAGCTCTTCAGCTCAAGGCGCGTGCTCTACTGCTTGAGGCACAGTGCCACTTCTGGTTTTCTGGTAGTTTATTGGCGATAAGAGTCTCAGGGACTTTTCTGCCTGGGCTGGCTTTGAACTGCGATCCTCAGATCTCAACCTCCTGAGTAGCTGGGATTACAGGCATGAGCCACCGATGCCTGGTTAATTTGTTCATTCTTAAGAAAGTTTTCCTACCTTAAGGACCACCATTGAGCTGATCCAATGGTGGGAGGTGTGTGAGGGGAATATTCAGCTAAAGTGTGTTTAGCTAGGAAAATCAAGTATGAAGCCTATTTTATCTGAGTCAGAGAAATCAGTTTAATAGGTATCAACCAAATAATAATTTCTCTGTTATTCATGTATATTTTTAAAGTTCTTTATCATTGAATTATTTTACATATTTGTTAGTTTCTCTCCATTTTCTACAAAATGGCGGTTATTCTAATGAGAGGTTCTTTGAAATGTCAAATTTATTACATTTAATTTGTATAGGAAAATCTGGCAATGTGCTGTTATGTATTGGATACGAATGTAGATTTATTTAACAGTCTCTACAATTCTAGTTGCTTCCCACCTGGATTGAATGATTTCAAACTCAAGGATTAAGTTATATATAGACCTTGTTTATAGTTTGCAAATTATGTCACAACTACTAATACCCAACCTAAACTAATCAGATCCTTGATAAAGAATTAGCTGGGTGCTGATGGTTCACATTAGTAATCCTAGCTTACTCAGGTGGCTGAGAACTGAGGATCACAGGTTGAAACCAGCACAGGTTAAGAAAGTCTGTGAGACTCCTATTACTAATTAAACACCCAAAAATGCCAGAAGTGGAGCTGTGGCTCAAGTTGTAGAGCACTAGCCTTGAGCACAAAAGCTTAGGGACAACACCAAGGCCCTGAGTTCAAGACCCAGAAAGGCATTAATAAAAACTTAAAGGAGATAGTCATTAATTAGTAGAAACAGAGAGACTATATTAGGAAGAGATTCTCAGGCTAATGAGTTCTCTTTAAAATTCTTCTATAATAATGTAGTTATTATGTACTTTTCAAATTACCAAAGTTAGGTGAAAAGCCATTAAAACCTTCTAAAATTATTTTGAGTTAACTTTTAAAATAAAACTTTTAAAAATAAAAATCTTTTTATTTGTCTCTGTATTTGGAAAAGTTTGATCTCAAACCTGTATTTATAAAAATCATTTGATTTCAATAGACTGTATTCAGGCTTTAGTCTCCAAGAATATCCCTATTAGTCAAGTGACTTTACAAAAATTACTTACTATAGGATGGCTAAATATAAGTCATTAAACAGTACCAAAACCAGAAAGCTAACCCTTTCAAAATCAAGTGAGGAAATATTAGTATCTATTAAAAGCTAAGAATTTAAATTTATCAGTAAGATTCTTACATAATTGGGAAAAATGCCTCATAACTAGAGATTTTAAATTATTTGTAGAAAACTCATTTAGATGTTAATATGTCTATTTCTAGGCCAAAAAGTGAGATCAAGTAGGTGCCAGCAATTTAGCTCACATTCTCTGAGACTTTCTGTTTCTAAAAATTCATAAGTATTTTACACAAAAGAAGTCTTTTCAATTTGTAACTACAGTAAGAAAATAAATTTTACACTCAGAGTTTGAAAATATTGAATTGGATATGCACCATCAAAATATCCAGATAATTCATTATTCAAATAATAAATTATTTAATAATTTAGATATCTAAAGAAGCATATCTTCTAGAGTGTGGAACAGACCATACAAATAAAAGATTATAAATAAAAACATACCATATACTGTTAAGGGAAGTAAGGACAATATTGGAATTCCTTTAGAGCTAAGGATTATTGATTACTCCAAAGCTCAGTGTAAAAGTGCTTGCCTAGCATCTGTGAGGTCCTGGGTTTGATCACCAGCATTAAAAGAAAGATGGAAAGAAGGAAGGAAGTAGAAAATAGGAAAGAAGGAAAGAAAAGGAAAGAAGGAAGGAAAGGAGGAAGATATATATATACACATACATATATATATGTGTATATATATATATATATATATATATATATATATATATATATAGTTGTTGTTGTTGTTGTTGGTTATGGGGCTTGAACTCTGGTCTGAGCACTATCCCTTAGCTCTTCAGCTCAAGGCTAGCACTCTACCACTGGAGCCACAGCACCACATCTGGTTTTCTGGTGGTTTATTGGAGATAAGAGTTTCACGGCCTTTCCTGCACTAACTGGCTTTGAAACGCAATCCTCAGATCTCAGCCTCCTGAGTAGCTAGGATTACAGGCATGAGCCACCGGCACCCAGCTAAGAATTGCATTTGATTACCTATGTGTCATTTGTGAAGAATTGAAGAAAACCAGGGCATATGTATCAGAGGGATGTTTTTCAAGGTTTTTGAGGCAGGTGCATGCTACCCAAGGCATATGTCATAACCATTTACTCAGTTATACTCATCTGACAATTGCATTGGGTTTACTGGTCCAAGAAAGTTTCACTTATGTATCTGGCTCCTTGATACTCCTTTATATGGTGCCTCTTTACCTATTTGGCTAGTCTGACTATCCTAACAGTATAGTGATTCCAAAGTCAGACATCTTATATAGCAAAGGATTTTCAAGCGTCTGGAAGCAGAAGCTCCATCCCATCTGGAGCTATCTATTTAATTTGGCCATATTCTATTGGCCAAAATAAATAACAAAGCTAGATAATCTTTCAACAGAGTAAAATCAACACTGCTGGTTTTGCTGGCTTCCATCTTTGGAGATTATCCATTAAATTGGTCAATACTATGAAATATAAATAACAACAACAAAAACCTTCAACATCAGGTCTGAGCTTGTTGGTGAATGTTTATAATGCCAGTTCTGAAGGAAGCCAATGTTAAGAAGATCTCAATATCAGGAGAGCTAAAGTAGAGTGTTAGTAATAGCATATCTGTAACAAAGCAGATGTGGCACATCTTGGTATTCCAGCTATGTGGGAGGTAGAAGGATAATCAAGGTCAAAGGCTTTTTCTAGAGCTCAGAAGGTGGCTCAGTGATAGAGTGCTCGCCTTGCATGCATGAAGCCCTGGGTTCAATTCCTCAGTACCATATACACAGAAAAAGCTGGAAGTGGCACTGTGGCTCGTGTGGTAGAGTACTAGCCTTGAGCAAAAAGAGGCTAAAAGACAGGACCCAGACACTGAGTTCAATCCCCAGGACTGGCAAAAACCAAACCAAACAAACAAACCAATAGCAAAGGCTTTCTCTAGACCCTATCTGAAATATAACAAGACAAAAAGGGGGAAGGATGTGATTCAAGTGGTAAAACACTTACCTACCAAGCTCAAGACACTGTGTTCAAATACAAAACAAGAAAACAAATAAACATATTCAACCTCTCATAGTTTTCAAAATAATTCTCAATGCATTAATCTACTTTGGGTTTGCCACTTTTGAAATACTTGTGTCCAGAGCAAGAGCTATCTCCTTATCAAGTGTTGATGAGAGTTCACATTGGAGTCAAGGTTTTGGGGAAGTTTGGGAGTATTTATTTAAAACTCTCAAAGATATTACCATGCTTTGACTAGAAGCTTATAGGAAATAATGTAATATGGGAAGCCAAGCATGTATTAGGATGGTTACTGTATGACAGTAACTGACAGTTACTGACAGGACATTACTGTATATCTTTTCAAGATCTAAAAATAAAGCATTGTGAAATCTGCAATGCCCCATATTTACTAGGCACTAAGAACCTTTTAATTTAAATTTAATTAAAATTAGTTAAAAGCAAACATTCAGTTGTTTTTTCTTTTCTTTTCTTTTTTTTTTAATTTTTCGGTTGTGTGGCCTGAAATTTGGGCCTGGATGTTGTCCCTCAGCTCTTCAGCTAAAGGCTAGCACTCTACTGTTTGAGCCACAGCGCCACTTCTGGCTTTTTCTGCGTATGTGATGCTGAGGAATCAAACCCCGGGCCTCATGCAAGGCAAGCACTCTACCACTGAGCCACCTTCCTAGCCCCAACATTCAGCTTTTAAGTAGCACAGCCACCTGGCAAATGTTCCAAAGCTGTGTGTGGCTAGGGTTTCCTGCTGCGTGTGGAGCCTCGGGCAGGGCAGTTTAATCAGTACAGGGTGTTTTCTAAAATAAAGGAGCATCAAGCAGCCAGGCATATTTGCCCTTTTTGAACTGAATGCTGTGGGAAACCACCACAAGGATTCCACTTCTAGGTCCACTATGGAGACCCTGGGGATACGTATTTTATGCAACAGACATACCCATACACACACTTCTAGGTCCACTATGGAGACCCTGGGGATACGTATTTTATGCAACAGACATACCCATACACACCAAGGTTTGATGTGCAGTATCGAATTCAGATTGTGGTTGTATATGCTTTCAGTTGACACGACCATATGTAAGTGAGGATAATAAAACTACCAAATCATGAGATTGATGGGGATGGTTTTCCTGCAATTGTATAGAAAATCCTAACTGATTGATTGAATTGTTAATATATTACTTAATAGACAATGTCTGCACATTGAAGAGCAGAAAAGGGGCTGCTCAGAATAGTGGCCTGCTCAGGAGTAGTTAGGTAGAACTACTGTGGGAGAAATTGGAGGTGAGTGAGATAATTAAGAAACCAATATGTGATTCAGGAAATAGGAAAATAAGAATTTGAACTAATCAGGATG